GAGGTAAGCTGCACACCAGAATTCATTGGGGCAAATGTGTTGTAAATGTGGTTCGAAATTGGTTTGAAGAAAATGATACTGGCACCGTTGCTTGCTGAGGGAGCTGGTTGACTAGAAATAATAGTTTTGTCTTTGATTTTTTTAGATAGCAGGTTACGGGTTGTGTTCTTTATTTCTGAGCAGCATAAGATTGCTCTCTCATAGTTTATGTTTTCTATAAGGGCATGGAGCTTTCCTTTTTCATTAAGTCCTTGGACATTTAAAGGTGAGATGGTTATTAAATTTCCAATTTTTGATTTTGATTGCTACTGATCAAGCGGGAATGATAGTTGAGAAGGGGTTGTATTGAAGTGGAAGGTGAGTATTTTGGATTAAAGAAATGACTGGAGTTTACTTGTATTCTCATTAAAAGAGATAGAATAAGAGAGTTAGATCTGGGGCGGGTGATTCAGTTTCGGTGATAAAGGTTATTGGAAGTTTGTCAAAGAAGAAGTGGGCTCAGAGGAGCTGAATTGCAGTGTTAATATATTGGTTTTCTATTAAAGGTAGGGTAATGTCTATTTCTTGTTGGCTGAAGTATTTGTTTGTTTCTTGTAGTGAGGGCAGTTCTGGAAGTATCGGAAGAATCCATTCTCATGGAATCTGGCCTTGATATGTCTGTTTAATTTTTTTGATTGTTATTGAGAAGTCTGGTGACTCTCTGTGGAGTTGTTCTTTGTTGATATTGAGGTGTGTTTTTATCTCCTTAAACTCTTTAGACATTGGAAGGTGCTTGTCTTGAACTAGACCTTCTTTGATTCATTGCAGTTCTAATGGAAGCTTGAATTTGAATTTGTGGAAGAGATTGGTAATGAATTCTTCTACGTCCTCTTGGTGAGCGATTGATAGATTTAATTCATTATTTTCACTGAACCAGTAAGCTGGAAGCAAGGGGCACTTGACTCTAATGTAGTCGAGGGGGAGGCGTATCACTGCATAGTTGTGCTGTCTAAGGATTTCGATTATTTCTTTCATCACTCTAAGTTCGTTATCAACTGGAAAATAGAGTCACAGATCATGCGGCAACTCTTCATATGAGGCTGGAAGTGTTTGTTTGGGAGGGGGCAGTTGGAAATAGCTTTCTGGGAGCTTTACTGGGACATAGTAGACATCTCTGAGTTGGTTTGTAAGCTGCCTAAGATTTCTGAGGTCACTTCTTTTGGTAAGGGAAAAAAGCTTTTTGAGCTCTCTTTTGAGTATCGAGGGATCTTCTAGAAGATTTGATTTTTGGATGAAAAGATTGTTGAAAGGAGGTCAAGGTTGTAGAATACTCTGAGGCTCCTGGCAACTTTAGCGATGTGACTGGGTGATGTTAATGGTATTGTTTTTGATAATTTAATTTTGATTGAGCTAGGAATTTCTTCTGGTGATTGAGGAAAATTGGGCAAGTTTTTCTTTATCCGCTCCTCACATTGAGTATAGATTTCTTAGTAGTTTATTTTGTTCAAGGTAGGATTGATAAAAAAGTTAAAGAGATATTTCAGCATCTGTGTTATCTACTAGAATTTCATTGTTTTGGTGTCTGTGGATCTGATGTAGGTGACTGCGAGAGCTTTGTTAATGATAATTCTGATTTTTCTCTTAGTAGCTTAATTGATGTATCCAATATTATTGTTTTTCATATAATTTTTATGAAACTTTTTCTCTATGTTTTCATACTCTCTCTGGTATTGGCCCTTGATGATTTTCTCTCTGGCGAAGATTCTGAAGAAATCTCGATTCCTATATAGAATTTTAGTGAAAATGGATTTGGTATAAGGCTTTAAACCTGGGTTGCTTTCTTCTCTTAATTTCCGGAACCAGTCAACAATGATTTTAGGGGTGCTCACAATTATCGAGATTTCTGCACAGTTCAATTAGCTTTGCTTATTCGGCTTCTGGGTTAACATCTCTGATATCATTGTTTATAGTCAAGGAGGATGAAGGTCTGGTTTCAGCTTCTTCAATTGCTTTGTTTTCCCATGAGGATATCACCTGAAATTGAAATAAATCTGATTGGAGTGGGGTAAAATTGTTATTCACTTACATATTTGTACTGTTTGTGCCTGTAAATAACGATGTGACTGCTTCACTTGTGAATAATTATGGTGTGGGCATGTGCTATCAGAACTAGCATGGTACTTGGGTGGACTGGTGTGATCTACTTCATGTGTTGCATTTAGTGCATGAGGGTTGGTATGACCTGCGACATGTGTTGCAGTCATTACTTGAGGACTGGAGTGATCTTTGTTGCACTTAGGGGACTCTGCATGCATGGTTTCAGGAGAACAATTAATCTGCATTTCATTGTCACTGCTCATTTCCTCATTTGGGGCAGGAGTATTTGGAGGGGATCTAGGGGATTCAGATTTTTGGATTTCGAAGGTTTGGAAGGATTCTTTGACAATAATTATAATTCCGCTTCATGGAAGATGTAGGTCATAGTTCAAGGCATTCTTTACCATCTCTTTGATGGCAAGCTCTCTGTCATTTGTGTCCAGTTTAAAATCTGTTTAGTGTTCAGTAAATTCATTTAGTGCCTTCAAGGACTTGGGATCTAAAAGTGAGGCAGTTGCTTTGAATTGGGATTTGAAAAGCTGTTTTGTGACTTCAAACTTTACTTGGACAACTTCGATGGACTCTTCTGTTAATTTGGTGTGCTTTATTGTAGTAGGAATAAGCCAAGAGCTAGAGTGGTTGTTGAAAAATGGGACATAAATTTCTTTTACTAGTTTTGTGACATAGATTTGTGATGTTTTGTCATTTTTATAAATGATAGAGACTTTGAGGTTCCTTTTGTTATCAGTCAAGACTATATCTAACAAGGTATGTTGGGTATTGATGTTGGGAGGTTTTGAAGGGGAGCTTCCCTTCCCTTTGGTTTTTTCTTTAGACAAAATTTTTGTTTTCTCTTGAGTATTTCCTAATTTGGTAGTTTTGATGTGAGTGAGAAAGAGTTTTTTATTTTATAAATAATTTCTTTATAACTAAAAAAACAAAATTAATTAAGCTTTTTATATAAAATAACTTAATAAATTTTTTAAAATTTATTTTTTAAAAAAAAATTTATAATCTTTTTTTTTATATGTAAAATTTCTTATTTATAAATTTAAAATTAAAATCAATAAATAAATTACAAAATAATTTTAATATATTTTTTACATTTTTTTATATTTATACTTTAAAAAATATATTATAAAATTTTAAATAATTTGAATAATTTTTTATTAATTTATAAATAAAAATATGCATTTTAAAAAATTCTAAAAAGTTTTGTTACATACTATATACAGTATATATTTTAATCTACAATTATGTCATGATGGCTTGTCTTTATTAAAAAATTAAAGTAAATCTACAATAATTTACAGACTTTCACAAAGTAACTAAGTTGTCTTTATATATAAGTACTCTAAATCAGATTTTAGAAACAATATTATACTCCACTGATAAATTAATAATAATTTCTATTTATCAGGATCATTGTCAACAGTTTATCACTATTGATTGCCTGAAAATTAATTAATTGCTAAGTTAGAAAAGAAAAAGGAGAAAACAATTGAGAGAAGAGGATAATTTAAGATCTATAAAAAAAAAATTCAAAAATAAAAATAACTTATTTTCAAAAAGGATCTGTTTGATTGGAATAGTCTTCTTGCTTCACTTAAATCTTGAAAAAAAATCTTCTTTTTTATTAACTGTGATATCAAACAAGTCAATCTAATTGATCTTTCATTTAAGTGAACATCAGATTGGGATATCTTAAGAAAAGTATTTAAATCTCAGCTTTTTTCTATTAAAATTTTGTCGTCACTTGAGAAACTTATATAAGAGATAGGATTTTGCAATTTACATTATCTATTACTTGGTTTTTTAGTATTATGGAAGTTTTCATTAAGGGACTTGGGCTTTTGGGGACAAACATTTTCAAAATTTTCTTTTCTATTATTAATGATATTATCAGAATATATGAATATGACCAATAGGAGTTTGTTTAAATTTCAAAAACTAATGTGTTTTATGTTAGCCAATCACCTTTCGTAAGAATTTGTGCTACCCAAAATTCAGGATCAAACTGAGGTAGGCAAAATTCTTTAAAAAACTGTGAAAGTAAAAGCTCTAAAAGGATCAAAACAATAAAAAAAAAAGAAAATAAGTTTTTTTACTGCAGAAAACCTCTATAAACCTCTCACTTCAAAGATTTATAAATCTTCAGATACTTCACAATCAGTTCTTCTTCTTTTGGAAACTTTTTTGTCATTAGTATCAAAGGTATTACCTAATTTTTCTTGGTTACTAGAAGTCAAGTTCTTGAGTGAAAAGGTTTGTAACAAAAGAGAAAAGGTAGAGATGACTCTTGAAGTCATATTTCAAGTTGTTTTAAGGAAAGTATTAAGACTTTATTAGCAAAAAAGTATAAAAACTTCTTGTGAACATCTTTTTTATATATGATCAGAGAATTAACAGAAAGAGTTTACTCTTAACTTTAACTTGTAACAAAGAAGAGCATGTTAATTTAATTATACAGTAAATAAATAATATATATTGTATGTAAGTATATTGTAAAATATTTTAATATAATATAAAATTTTTTATTTTATATTAAAATAAATTTAGAGACCTGTAGATCTATAGTATAGTATTAGTGCTCTCAAGTCACAATCACAAGGTCTAGAGTTCAATATTACATAAGGACTAAGTGAAAAATTAAGTTACAGATGGTATAAAAATCTTATCTTCCTCATGATAATGATTAAGTGTTCTAACAAGGCAATAAGGAAAACCTGTTGCCTATAATAAGTATAATAAATCAATACAAGATTCTATATAAGGCTAGCATAAGTAATACAAGTTCTCAATACAGAACCAATTTCCAAGTATCCAAATAAGAAGTAAACAAAAATCCTATCTACCTATTACAGTCATAACAAGACAAGACACAATACAAAGTTTTTAAATATAACTTAATAAGTAGTATAATGTTCTAATTATAAACTGATCACCTCTCTAAGATTTAAAAAAAAGGACTTGACCACTCATAGAAAATAACTAGACCTACCCATATCAAGATAAGGATCAGCTCTATATGATCTTGAAAAATCACAAGACAAGTTTCAAAAAAGCAAAACTAAGTAGTATAATGTTCTTAACACAAGATGAAGCTTCTAAGCAATAAATTAACTGGTATCAGATACATGACAAGTTTCTCAAAAAAAAGAAAATCTTAAAGCATTAATAGAATTAACAGAAGATTTTATATAAGAAACCTTCAATATCAATGATGTTGAGTATCTTAGGTAAGTTCTTGATACATTAGTTTCTCTAAAAATAGAAATAGCAACAAGTTGTACAGTGAATCACAATTCTAAAAAGTATCATTTTGAATAATAGAGATATTAATCCAGTAAGATTACTTTATCAGATTGAATATATAAGTTTCTTGATCCTTAGCTTAGTTAGAATTAAGAAACAGTTCTATACTAGATGGTCACATAGTTACCCTATCCTATTTAGATGAGATATAAATAGATGCCTCTTATACTATTCATTGATCTGTAAATCTTTAAATAGTATAGATAATTACTTATTTTGATTGTTCCTAGGGCTTATCTTGTCTATAATAAAGTTTCTAAACTGACACAAGAATAAGCTAGTATTTAATAAAAAAAAAAATTAAAATAAATTTAGAAAATTGAATATATTTATAATTTTTTTAATTGTAATTATACAATGTATATATTTATTATTTATCTATTTATTTATTATCATAATTATATCAATATTTAATAATATTTAAATAATATAAATTTATAATTAATAAATATTATATAAACTTAATAATAATTTTCACTAATAATTTTATTTATAACTTTAAAATAAAAAAAATATAAATATTATAAATTTAAATAATAATTTAAAATTTTTATAGTTTTAAATAATAGATAATAATAACCTGGAATCTACTATTAGTCATCTTCTTCTGTATAGTGGATACAAAATCAAGACTAAAAGAAAGGAAGTATTGAGCAAGACACTGGATCTGAGTAGATGATAAGTACCTTAAATAGTTATAAGAAAACAATCAATAGCATATATATATAAGTTTTTCAAATAATTAGGAAAAAGAAGAATATCTTAGAAGGATTGACTTCTAATGAGAAAAGGTTTTTAACAGAGATTCTTTGGAGAACATGGAATATTTTTATTTTTATTTTTTATTTTTTCTTTTCATGTAATGTATTTGCACAGTTTTAAATATTCTTTTTTCCTTTTATTTTTTTTACTCTTTTGTAGTTTCTTGAATTCAATTCCTTGAAGGATAATAAGCTGTGACAATCTGCTAACAATGATGAATAAATTAGAAGAATATTCACTCAAAATCTATCATAAAGTGAAATATTGTTCCTGAGGTTGCACTTAGAGGCTAAAGCTTTTTTAAGAATTGAAAGCCATTGTCAAGTATATTACTGTAAACCGCTGCATACAATACTCCCCTAAAGTAATATTCCCCCTTAAATAATACCTGATAATATTCAAGAAAATTGTTATTCAATAAAAGATTATTACCTGAATATATTAAGCTAGAGCCAATAAAATTGCAATATAAATGGGATTTATCAAATGATAATAATACACTAAATATTCTACTATTTATACTATTCCCCTTCTAATAGAATACCCAGGGTATTGTATGCAGTGGTTTACAGTAGTACAAGTCTTTTAGTTTAACTTTTTTTTTTTTTTTTTAAAACTCTCTGTCAGGCTAAGTACATGTGCTTTATTAAACATGTATATACTTTACATTGGAGAATGTATCGCTAAAACTAAGACTCTATCTAACTCACTTGTCTCTGTTTTAAAGAATTATTAAAACTCTAAGTATAACTTCGAGAGTGATTTATCGCTCTATTAACAATTCAGGTAAAGACCCTTCCAACTGTTAACTTCATTGCCTGCAGGTCACTACTGCAGTACAAGTCTTTTAATTTAACTATAATGCAATTGCTCTATATATATATATATATTTTTTTTAAGCTGGCTTGGTCAGACAGTGACATAATAAAAGAACCATTATAGCAATGTAAAATTTAAAAAGAGAGTTGATGTGTATATCAAATCTAATTTATCTAACTTAACCCAAGAGAAAATAAGGGGGTTGTGTTCATTACCATATTCTATTATCTTTATTTAAAGGAGAAAAATAAACTAAAACTGTACAAATTTA